CGCTGCGTACCTCCGGGCCCCGCGTGAACGGGTCCCGCAGGTTTGCTTGGGCTCATGCGCTTATCCTCCTGACGATTTCAAGCACTTTTTACTCTCTTTCCAAAGTTCTTTTCATCTTTCCCTCGCGGTACTTGTTCGCTATCGGAAACCTGGCCGTATTTAGCCTTGGATGGAGCTTACCACCCATGTTGGGGCTGCACTCCCAAGCAACCCGACTCTTCGGATGCGCCTCGTGAAGTGACGGGTCGTCGCCCGACGGGGGTGTCACCCTCTCTGCCGCCACTTTCCAGTGGACTTAAGGCGGCGCCCGTCACAGAGAACGCTTCCTTTTCAGACTACAATTCGGAGGGCCGGAGGCCCTCGGATTTCAAGCCTGGGCTTTTCCTTGGTCGCTCGCCGCTACCAAAGGAATCACGGTTGTTTTCTTTTCCTCCGCTTAGTAATATGCTTAAATTCAGCGGGTAGTCTCGCCTGACTTGAAGCCATCGTTTGGGGGTTTGCCCGGTTCTTCCCCGGTCCGACCATTTTTAGTACGAGCCCCGTCCGCCCCTCGCCCGGTCTGTGCGCGCTACTTTGGAGGGCGGAGACCGAGGGTTGCCACACCCTCGGCTCCATTTTTCCGTTTCGCGGCCTTCTCGGGAGAGGAAAAGAGGACCGGTTTGGCATCCGATACCCCCCCACCTGCTGGGAGGTCCGGACGGGGTCCGTTGGCCGGCTGGGTTCACCGAGCCCAGCGGGGTCGCCACCCGCCTCGTCGCGCTCGTCCCGCTCGCGTCCTCCCGGTTGGCATCCGGGGATCTGCACTGGGGTCGAGACGGAGAGGAGACGGGCTTGTGGCGGCCCTGCGATTTCAGCCGACTGCCCCCCGTTGTGCACGGGTTGCGACGGCCATCTCGTTTTCCCAGGTACGGGCGATTGTCTCGGGTAAACCCGAGCGCCCCTCGTATGCCACGCATTTTGGCAGTTCCGTCCCGTTCACCCCGCCGCACGTAGCCGCGTGCGGAGGGTGTGGGTGCGGATGCGTGGCTCCACCTGGATGTGTGTGGCGTTCAAGCAGACGTGCCCTCGGCCGAGGCCTCGGGCGCAACATGCGTTCAAAGTTTCGATGATTCACGGAGTTTTGCAATTCGCATTACGTATCGCATTTCGCTGCGTTCTTCATCGAGCCAGGTTCCAAGATATCCATCGTCAGGAGTGGGGTCCCAGTTTTTATTAGGTGCCGGGGCTCATGGGGGCCCCGCTCAAGGGGAGGGTTTTGCGATCGGACGGCCAGTCCCGATCGCGGAGAGGTCTATATCCCGTGCCCGTTCGCGGCTCCTTGATGCACTGCGACCGGACCCGGCTGAGAAACGGTCCCTTGCCATTGCCACGGGCGCCCCTTCCCAGCCAACCGAAGAGGATTTCGGAAGGCCGGGCGAGCAAGACCCCGCAGTCACACCAGCCGGTGCCAAGAGAGACGGAGCACCGGTGGCGGGGGACGCTAGGTAGGAGGAGGATTCCAACAAGCCAATTTTATGAGGATACGTCCTAGGTCAGGCATCGAACTTCCCGGTGCTTCCGCTTTTGGGAGGAGTCCGATCTGTTACCATCGGGGGAAAGGGATTTGTTTTTTGTTCCGCATGGACGCCCGGTGCCGCCGGGAAGCAGGCTCCCTGGTGTCGAGGTTCGTCGAGATCCGGGATGGAGAGGACGTCGGGTGCCACCCCGCCGCCCAAACCGACCGTACTCGCGACTTGCCTCGCTCCCGATCACTACTAGCCTTTGGGATGGCGGGCCTACTGAGCTAGTTTCGTGGGAGGGGACTGCGACCTGATCTCCTGCAAGAGGAGCTCGCCCGGTCCCTCCGGTGCTGCGAGCAACACACGGAGAAAGCCGAGGGCGGTCGTTACGTCACTCGTTCTTAGGAGCGGTTGCCAAGGTCTGGGATCAACCGAGGCGGTGCTCCATGCCCGTCGGGGTGCGCCTTCCTTTCAGCACCACAACGAATCCATCGGTGCTCGAACGTTTTTCGAGCCACCGCACGCCCGCTTGCTCGCCGATCGCTCGCCAAAACGAACGACAAGGTCGCGGGGCACGGCCTGAGGTGGGGCTCGGCATTGTTCCGATGGGTTCTCCGACGAGGCCACGGGCTGGGACATCCGGCAGCCGGCTGAACGCCGGTCGTCATCCTTCCAAGCCCTCGAGCGTGCTCTGA